TTGTATAATTATGACATAAACGACTGCAGATATTAAGCATACGCAGCGTTGTCCCGCAAAAGTTATCACTAACTTTATTGCTATTACTGTCATTATCGTGGTCGGTGGCAGTGCTTTTACCGTTCTTGCCTAAGGCAATGCAATTTTGTTGCCAATTTTCACTTAATTTGTCGCGCCAATCAAGTACAAATCGCACCCATTGGCAAAACTTCCTTGCCCGGTAAGGCTGCCTTATGCACATACCGACACACACACACACACACACATTATCTTTTACCTAATATATACAGCAATATATACTATATATTTGTATAAAGTAGGCGTCGCTTCGCTTCTGACACGTTCGCCTGTTGATTTTAATCAGCGAGCGGGTTTTTCTGCATTTTTATAAACATTTATTTTTAGGACGCGGTTGGAAGGTCTAAAATCAAAATGGGTCCCGCAGGCTATAGACAGCAGACAGTAGACTATACTGTCAACATACTTGCCACATTTTGTTGTAGTTGTTGCTGCTCGTATCATGTTCAAATATGGATGCGCGTGTCATCTAAACAGCATCGATGCCATTTACCTCAATTTCCAATTATATTCAATTATGCTCTTTTTTGATTTTGAATGACAGATTGCTGCAAGAACGGATTATACATATAAGCTTACCAAATCAATGGCATTAATATGGATGTATGCAATGTACCTACGGCATTGGGTGAATCAGACTTGGATGAAAGTTGACAAAACGGAATTGTAGACTGATGGGAATTTGGAAATTATTATCCAAATATCGATCGGGCATCTTTGTTTCGTGTGGCCTTTGTATGCATTAGACCCTTTGCTGCAGACATATGTTTTTGCTTCAAACTTAGGAGCAGCTATGAACATATCCCTCAGGGCAGAACTCTTAACTGTGAGCTCATTAGCCAGACTTTTGTGCCTTGATTAAATGTGCTTCTTGCCGTCCATTTATTTATTAAAGAAATTAAATATGTTTTGGACTGTCTTCGTAGCTTGTGAGTTTATTAGCCAGGATTTTGTGCATTAATTAAATGTGCTCTCATAACTCTCAGTATAGTAGTTTTGTGTCCGCTCTGAGGTAGTCCGATTCCCGAAACTATTTAACTCAGACCTCTTATCACAAGTCCATTTATTTATTAAAGAAATTAAATATGTTTAGGACTGTCTTCGAAGCCAGTGTTTTTCTTGTGTACGAGTAATTACTATCATAAATAAAACTGTAGAAGAATTATTTACAATTACTAGAAAAGAAGTAAAACCTAGGGTGTAAAACGTTTTCAATAAATTCAGAAATAGTTTAGAATTAAGCTTTAAATGTCATTTGTAAGGTGAAAATTTTAATGAATATAATAGACAGATTCGGAAAAAAAACATCCAATAAATCCAAACTTTTTGAGGCTTATCCCTAGTTGCATATGTGCGAAAATTGTTTGTCTGTTGAAAAGAGATCGATTTGGTAGAACTATAAATCGAAGTAAGTATTTCTGCTTATAAGTATTATTACAAGTTCCAACTATGCAGAAAACGTCTGCTCATTAACAACTTACTATGACAGATCCATGCCTTATTGTGGTTTATACTTGTATGTGTGCAAGAAGTGCATTAGAATATTGCTTAGGCGTTAAGCTTTAAAATCGTAGGAAGCTTCAGGCGCAATTTGTTATTCAAATGGCGCACCGTGTTGTGTGTAAATGTCACTGTGTCGGAGTGTGTGTGTGTGTGTTTGTATGTCTGTGTCTGCGTAAACTGGCAAAAGTCGCACCCAGAGCCTATTTAATTCATGCCAATCCTCAAGTAAACATATTATCCCATAGCTTTTACAAATACGACGCGTCGACCCGTACCAATAAAAGCCCTAAGGCCAGACCCAAACAGAAAAAAACGAACCTCCCAGATGTAAAGACGTCTACCAAGTTGTCTGAAATGAGAGAAAGAAACAAATTTTTTGAAAAGGAAAATAAAAAGAGTTGTGATAATTATGCGTCTTAGACGAAACCATTAAAATAATGCTCGGTTTTGTAGCTACTGTTGTTGTTGTTGTTGTTGTTGTTGTCTATGATGAAGTTGCAACTCAATTTGTTGCTGTGCCAGAATGTGGCAAATGGTAAATGACATTATTTTTGTTTGACAAGTCAAAGCAGCGGCAATGGCGGCTGCGTTGGCTGCGGTTTCGACTTCGGCGGCCACGGCCGCGTCACCTGGCACAAGAGCACTTCAAAGTTGGTAAAGCATGCTTCAAGGAGCGACCGAGTGCGTGTGTGAGTGCGAGTGTGTGTTTATGCGGCCACCAGCCAGTCAGCCAGACAGGCAGTCAGCCAGAGTGCCAGACAGGCAGACAGCCACATCCCTGCTCAGTTAGAGAGTCAGCGAGACAGTCAGGCAGTCAGTCACTTACTAACTCACTCACTCACTCACTCACTCATTCAGTCACACGCTCAGCCAGCGGCTTGGGTTTGGTTGCCCAGTCCGCTGTTTGGTCCCCACTTGTTTGGCTTTTATGCCCAACCGCTAACGAGTTCACCATCACCGTTGCCGTCGCAGTCGCCGTCGCCGTCGCAGTCATTGCGCCGAGCTGCCGCTTCAAGTAATGCCAAGCGACAAAAACTTTAAATGGTTTTAGACAGTTTGTTTAAGCCAACAGCCCTAAAAACCCCCAACAGTTGGCCTGGCGTCTTACCCCAGGCTCGCTGCTACTACTTTTTTCCCATTCTCTTATCCCGGCTCTAGTGCATTTGCATAAATTCAACACTGCGAGCATGTGCTCTCTTAAAACGCCACCAGCTCTCTCTTAAATGTTTTTCAACACAGCAGCGAGTCGCGGCGCAAACTCAACACACGCCGCCCAAAATCCACCCATTTCTGACCCGTCCACCGTACCTGGCGCGTGTCTCGTTCTTTTGTCGCCCTTCTCCTGCTCCTTCTGCTTCCACTCTCCCTGCCACCAATGCCCATTAGTGTCTGCCATTTGGTTGTTGTTGTTGCATTTTTGCTGTTTTTGTTTTTTTGGGTCGTTTTCTGTGTCGTAGGCACCTTTTGAAAATGCAGGTCGGCCCAAAAATGCAAGTGCAAGACGAGAGCTGGAGCTCGAGCCAATTCCCCATCGGATCGGCCCGTTCGCCAAATGAACTTCAAGCGGCACGTAAATGTAAAAAACGCACCGCCAGCCGGACGAGCCTCATTGAAAATAAAGGAAGGCCTTTTTTTTGAACGCTGCCCCTTGTGGGACTGTCGGGTAATAGAGAGAAGAAGAAGAAGAAGAAGCGTAAATGGAAGAAGTTACATTGTTAGCACGGCCACATGCGGCATAAATGTTAATTATAGTGCAGATCAAATACGATTACACCTAATACGGTTTTTACACGGTAGATTGGTTCCAGAAAACCCCGTGTAAAAAAAACATAGATCAGGAGGCTGCTCAGGACCCATCCTCTGGACCTCCCCAGGGACTAGCCGGATACTAAAAACTCATGAGAAATGAAATAATTAATCTTTAAGTTTATTTAACAAATTTAAAGATTGTCCACGTTGGACAGTTTTAAATGAAAACACTCTGCTGATACAACAAAATATGCAAAAATAGGTGACTGGTTCCTTTTCTCCAAAACCTATTAAAATCAGTGAAAAACAATGAAATATGGAATGGAATAAAGTTGTGTAACCATAAATCCCATAATCCAATTTTTAATTGCCAAACCGTGTTTAATCAAAACCGTGTAAAAACAAAATTAGGTGTACTTCCGCAAAAGATCAATGTCCGCAAATTTGAACCAAGAAAATCAAAGATAACAGCAATACTAATATTAAAAAATATTTTCCCGCTTCAAACTATGTTTTTGGATAATGAACAGATCGCACATCTGACAAATGATCAATTATAATGACAAATGGAAAATGGGCGACAAATATGCATGTATGTGTTACCGGACCTCTACATATATACTTAGTATATAACATCTGGACCTTATTAAAATGAACTAGATTCGATATTACTATAATTCGACATTACTGTCGCTATTGATTCGACGCTGCTATTGTTCTTATCCTTCGACGTCTCCTCTGATGCATCGGTCGCTACGCAGCGCATCGCTGGAGGCGATCATAATTGGTCGCTGGCGTCGAAATATGATCCTCGTAGCCACTGCGCTGACAGGTACTGCCGCCATTGTGGTGCAACGAGTGTCATGTTGCATTGCCGGCTTGCGAAACGGTGTAAGCTCAGAACATTTCAATGGCGAGCGGCCTCGAGTCTTGACGACCCTGCACCTTCATCTAAACATTTAGGTTTCGATTACAGTTATTTCGTTATTAATTAAAACGATTTGAAGCAAATTAATGACAATAATGACAGAAAGCATCGATAATTACTTAATTCCACACACGGCTCTCCCAGATTCGGCCCATCACGATGAATCAACTTATTCAGTTTCCGAAACTTTTTTAAAAGTTCTGAAAACCTATGAAAATGTTGTTTTAATCGCCCATGTTCGACCGGGACGCATCCTACTTTTATCGATTTATTTTTAAGTCTTGATTGAGGAAAGTTTCCAATTAATGTTCAAAACTTACGTGGTGAACATTTAAGGCGAGTTAGGAGTAATATTAAGGCAAGGCAAGAGCTGTGATGCGAATAATTCCACGAAGCCGTCCATTCCGGTTAACTGATTGTAAAGGTATTGGTTTTTATAATTACACTCACCCAGTAATTAAGAATATAATTACATTAGCTTTTTATAAGAGAAATCCTGTTTTGTTGGGCCTAATTCTGCTAAATTGATTCCAAAACAAAACGTGTATAAAAAACCATGTAAAAAAGACATTGATCGAATGTAAAAGTAGGTGTTTGGTTGCTTATCTCCAAAACCTATTAAAAGGAAGAGACATCGATGGATAACAATATCGATGATTTCCCTTCGACGTACATCCCTACCTGGGGCTACTTGTACATTTCCAATATTTATCGATTAGTCTCCGAAGCTTTGTGTACTTTAGTCAGAATTTTCCAAATTACATAAATCTATAGGAAAGTAGGCTGTGCTTGTGCTTGTCAGGAACAGGAGACATATCGCCTTCACTTCACAAAAAGTATAAAATAACGAAAATTTACAAACCTATGGGTATTTAGACAATTTTTAGCAACATCATTTGCTTGTCTATCTTGCAGATCTCTCAGAAAATGGACTTTCAACTTTACCTTCTGGTCATACCAACTGTTGGCACATTGATTTACGGGATTGTAAACTGGATTACCCATTCCCGGAAGCGCAATGAGTACTCGTATGTCGCAAATAACATTTTAATGGAAGATTATTTCGGGTCCATGGTGCTGCGCAGCCAAGAGAGGGCTAAGCAAGAAGCCAATGCAGAAGACCCATCTTTGTTTACACAGGAGGCATTGTTGTCTGCTATTCGACTGCAGCTGGTGCAACCAGACATTGATTTAGCCGAAAACATATAGTTTATTTTGATAAATACAATTATTTATTTTATATGAAAAATAATGGTTAATATTTTGCCGGAATTAAAAATGTATCTTTAGCATTTGAAAAGACTAAACCAAATGAATCGAATTTTATATATTCAGACTCTGCTCTTAGATGGGGACAAACGATGAGGGAGAGGGCTGGCGAGAAGGCAGTTGCTTCGGGTGCTCCATCACTACTATACAAATAGCTGTGGATATTGCACCACAAAACTGTGAGGGGAAAACCATTCAATCCTTCACAGAGGATCACAATAAATAACTGTCGCAATTAAAAAATGCATCTTATGTATTCAGACTCCACTCTTAGATGTGGACAAACGAATGAGGAAGAGGGCTGGTGGCAAGGCAGTCGCTTCGAATAGCTGTGGATATTGAAAAGATCCGTTCTTGCACCGCAAAACTGTGAGGGAGAACCAATCAATCCTTCAAAGGATCGCAATCGCATAATCTGATAATATTCAGACTCCACTCTTAGATGTTGACAAACGAATGAGGAAGAGGGCTGGTGGCAAGGCAGTCGCTTCGAATAGCTGTGGATATTTGGAAAGATCCGTTCTTGCACCGCAAAACTGTGAGGGAGAACCAATCAATCCTTCAAAGGATCGCAATCGCATAATCTGATAATATTCAGACTCCACTCTTAGATGTGGACAAACGAATGAGGAAGAGGGCTGGTGGCAAGGCAGTCGCTTCGAATAGCTGTGGATATTGGAAAGATCCGTTCTTGCACCGCAAAACTGTGAGGGAAAACCAATCAATCCTTCACAAAGGATCGTTTTCCCGGTCGCACCTAATTTAACATAATCTGATAATAGATAATAAGTATGTAGTTGCAAGCAAAATGGGGGGAGACGAGAATAGCCCGGCACAGGCATCAAGTGAGTGCCAGGCGCGATAATATAAAACTTCATTTGAGGCAACATGGCGTATGCGCAATATTAATAACAGTATCATCAGCATACATAGAACATTGGCCATGGCACGTGCGAACGAGCTTAGCCATTTTATTTTATGCAGCTGCTAATGGCACAATTTGGAGACAGACACATACCCACACGCATGCTATTAAATACGCATATAATTCGCACACACACATGCACGCAAAACAATTAACTGTTAACATACACTCACACACACACACACACACACACACGTGATGATGTTTCACTTTTACGCTAATCCGCAAACGTTTGTACATTCTGGTTGACTCGCTCTCCTCTTCACCAGCTTGTTGCGTTTTATTCTTTTTGAATTAATGGTCAGTTCTGAAGATACATACATACATACTACTGGTACTTGCATGCACTTACAAACACACACACACGCACACACATACATACGAGTATGCGAGCCTGTATATAATACGAGATCATCATACATAGTCAGAGCTGCTGCTACAGCTAGTTGGCCACACACTCAGACAATTGCGGTGGACGCGCACATTTAGCGCAAATTGCTCTTTTACATTCTCTAAACAGCCACCCACTCGCCCCCCTTCCCCTCCCCCTCCCCCTCCCCCGAGCAGTCCCCCCCATACTCCCCCCACCCTCCTATAAGTATGTGGCTTCCGCTGCCATTGTACTTGTCGCCATTATCGAAGGCTAAGCTAAGATAGCCAGCACATTGTTATGTCGCCGTGTGTGTGTGTACATACATATACATATGTATATACATACATATCGGTTGTGTGTGTGTGTGTGTGTATTAGCAAGCACAGCACTTTGCGACGCACACACACACTCACACTCACACACATATGCATCATTTGCCATTATCGCGTGCGCCTTAAAAGCACAGCACAGCAGCCAACTTGAAAAAGTTGTATAAAAGCGAAAAGCGACAACGAAGTTCTTGGGCCAATAAATAGTCGAAAGCGGCAAGAGAAACAGCAATAGCAACAACGACAACAACAACAACAACAACAACAGCAACAACTACAACTACAGTAACTGAAATAGCAACATCAACAACAGAAATGGCGGCAACAGAAGCAAGCTACTACTTTGCTTTGTCACCATTTTCCCATTGCCATTGTTGGTGCTGTTCCCATTGCCCGCTGTCTTTCTTTCCTTTGACTTTGCTACTTTATCGCTATAATTCGATTTGCTGTTGTTGTTCTTGTTGCTTTTGTTGTTGCCAGCGGCATTTGCTCGCTTGTCGTTTCATTGCACTTAAGAGTGACCATTCATTTTCAGCAACAACTCGTCCTCGAATCAAAGACCTTCTCCTTCTACAAGTATTTTGTTCAATTTATTTTTCATTTTCAAATTCGAAAACAACTGTCAGTTGAGAAAAAGTATGCACAGCATATGGGATTGGCTACTGGGAATGGATAACGCATCTGAAGAGCCAGCAATTACAGTATTAACTAACTACTAAATGAAATTGCACTTGTTTGAAAGCACAGCTTATACGATATTAATATTTTGTAAGATAGCAAATAAATCGTTTGCTATGTATGAATACGAAGAGTCCTTCCTACATAAGGTCATGTGAAAACAACTAATTGTTTCTTTATTCATATGAATGATTTTTAAAGTAATTTCAAAAAATACATCCCTTTTCCTACAGAAAAATTGTATTTAATCCTGAAAGAATAGATATAAACCCACTATAAAATCTTCTTTTTTGATCCAAATTTTTCTGACAATTGTGGTGTTATATACATATGTATGTACTTGTATACACCCAATTCTGTTTTTACACGTTCGGTTTAAACACGGTTTTGATTTAAAAGGGTTTGAAAATAACAAATTTTAAATTTTTTACACGATTTTATTCCACTCCAAGCGAATTCGAGTAACTGATGCTGACAGCAATTAAATTTGTGTTCCTGAATTTATGATGATCTTTTTAATTTTATTTTTTTTTACCTCAGAAATTGAATAGCTGTTTTACACTCGTACATAATTGCTTTTAGTTCCTGATCTTGTCATACATTTAATTTACATTACAAACATTTAAGCTTAGAGTGCAAATCTTTTTCTTTTTTTAATAACTATGCTTATTATATATGTGATATAATAAAATAAACTTGAATACTTGATCTTAAAAAATCCTTGTTTTTTCACTAATTTTAATAGGTTTTAGAGATAAGGAATACGATGCATGTCTTTTTTAAAACGGGTTTTTCTGTAACCAGTCTACCGTGTAAATAAAAATTTGTTACCCAATATTTGTGTTTAATCCTGAAGTAAACTTAATTAAAAACCTTTCCTTTTTTGATGCATCATTTTTCTGACAATGGTGTAATTCTGTTTCTACACGGTATTTTTTTACACGATTGTGATATAACACGGTTTGCAAATTAAAATTTGCTTATATATTTCTTTAGAGATGAGGAACCAATCCCCTACTTTTGCATATGATCGAGGTCTTTTTTTACACGGTTGTTTCTGGAACCAATCTACCGTGTAAAAACAGAATTAGGTGTATACTTGTATGTATACACACTTCAAATTAAGTCAATGATTCAGCACTAAAGGATGTGCGCTGATTTTGTTTAAAATAAAGCCACGCTCAATTAAAATACGATGTATAACTGCTCTAACTCCAATGTTTAGTTGAATCTCGAACTTAGCCAATATTGGGTCTCGTATACTCGTACTGTGCGCCCAAATTTCGGTCACCCTGATTGGACGGGTCGTCGCGATTTTACCGCGATTTACTGTCATTTTTATGGCGCCTGACACTGCTGTTGCGAACGTGGGGCGGGAATATAAGGAACTGGAATGGGGATGGGAATGGGGATGGGGATGAGCACTAAGTGCGCTCGAATTTTCTAGGTACGAATGAGTCCTGAAGACAAAAAGGACGACACAGAGTCTGCCACAATAGGAATTACTTGATTATCGTTTACACGTCGCCAGCACCAATCGGTCAATGGGAAATGGCCACCGGCCAGTGGGAGATGGGAAATGGGAAGACTCCGGCTGTCTGCTAATAGACTTACCAGTCCCTCATTCGGACAGCCGGCAAGACGCTCATTCTTTAGCCATTTTCACGCATTGTGCGTAGATCTTATTAAAATTATTCGATTTGCCTTTTATGTGCTCGTGTGTGTCGGTGTCGGTCTCGGTCTCGGTGTCCGTGTCCGTGTCCGTGTCGGTATTGGCCAGTATCGGTCAGTGACTTGCCAATTTGCTGCCAACTTGGCCAGTTTATTAGTTTGTCGTGAGCCAAGTGAAGACCAATATAACTACATTTATACTTATATACGAATATATTGTATGTACATATATGTATCTATAAGAATATATGCGTGCCTGATATATGCGTGTCTGTCTGTTGGGCCAACAGGGGAAGATGCGGCAGAGGGGCATTGCTGTATCGCTGCCGGGCAAGTGGCAAGTGGCAAGTTTCGGGACAGGTCATTAACTAGTCGTCGTTAATTTCAATTCTGCCCCCACGGCCTTCCATTCGCAATTTATGTTTGCCATTTATAATGCTAAGTGGCCAAGCGCACAGTGAAAGTGTAATTAAATAAACTGAAAAAGGTATAGAGGGGGGCGGACGAGGGACGGAAGTCGGAGGTCGGAGGACGAAGGACGGCCTCGACAAAAGTGTGGTACGAAATTAACAGTGGCGCTTAGTTGCGTGTGTATGTGTGTGTGTGTTTGCTGATGTGCTGTTGGTCCTGCGTGCTCGTGGCATGTCAATAAATAAAATGGGTTAAGTTTGCCAGCCGAATGAGCAGTATTAATTGCGTTTATTTGGTGCAAAGTGCTTGGAATGATTGATGATTGAATGTGATGGCAGTCGAATGCGATCAGCTAAATACATAGCTGAAGCATGAAACCAGAAAAGTCAACGATCAGATTTATGTACGGCTGCAATGAAACACGTTATTGGATAGTCTCAAACAATCAAGCCATCCATTATACTGACTTGACTGAACTGAGAGCAGCATATACATATATTGTATACTTGTAGACTTTTTTGTATAATTGTCACAATTGTTGTTTAACTTGTATTATTTCTCCATTTTCTTTTATTAAGTAGAAAAGAAGGCTAAGCTGCCTGTACTCTAAACAGCAAGATATCTTTACATCATTTGGTTATTCATTATGTTTTTAAGAAAGTGAATAAATTGAAATTGAAATTGAAATTTTTTCGTGTTACAAGCTATGGAAATTTTTATTGAGTGGGAGGTACTTGGTATGATTTTCTTCTATGCATCATTGTATTAACAGCCAGCTATCAACATGATAATCTACACTACTTTTGAGGCCCACTCATGATTACTCATCCCAGCTTATACAAAAATTCGAGTAACTGCGAATATTATCGACTACTCATACCTTAAATAAAAGGGCTATATTGGCAATCTCTGCAATATTTTGCCCAAGGAATACTAAAACAGAAGAATGCACAGTCTTGGCACAATGAATATACATATAATCCTAATCCTCAGATGTCCTATAAAGATAATTATTAATTAATTATTAATTAATTATTCCAAGCTTTTGGTTGTTCCGTCTGCTAGTTATCATTGCTTTTAATATGGAAATTATTATATTGATGGTGATACATGATGTATAAGTTTAATAAATAATTAATTTTTAATAATTAAAATATTTTCGCACCCCCATACAAGGGCGTACGCAGGGGGGCAACGGGCCCCGCAATATGAAGCCGACCACACATTCATTATTATGGCGCACTATTCCGCCTGAAATGGAACCGAGTTGAATTTATTTTATTTTATTTTATGGATCATATGCGTAATATGCTTAAATTATTATTTAATAAAAAAAAATTTTTTTTGGCTTGCCCTCCCCCTTTGGGTAAAGCTGTGTACGCCCTTGCCCCCACACTACAATACTGGTGGATAAAAACCTATGACATTTTAATATCTGGATGCAGCCACCCCCCCTCTACTTTATGTAAGGAAGCAATAAATGGAAGGCATTGAATGCTTTTTTGGGGTTGACGAAGATACTGGCGGAATGTGTGATCAAATGAAAAGCAGCACGAAATCGATTTGTTTCATCTATTCAACTTTCCCTGGTGAGCGAGGGCGTCTTCTGATACCAGACTACGATCTTACATGGCATACGAGAGTGTACGCTGCCCCAGTCGCCGTTTTCCGCCCTTCGACCCGCTCAGGCTGAGTGCTTGTAGGGGTGATTCCAAGCGCTTAACCCGAATGAATCGCATGGGAAAGCCGGTAACATTGCCATCGGACGACGCCTCCACAATACCACTCAGTTCGATGGTGTAGAGCGAGGTTCCATTTCGTATTTTGATGAAATGTCGCATTAGTTCCTCGTCTAGTGTCAGGTAGGCCATGAGGGATTTCGAGTCTTCCAATGTATTGACCAGTTCATCGGCGCCTTCTGTTGCCTCAGATAGGGACGTGGGCAGATGTTCTGTGGAGCTATTAACCTGTTTGTCTTCTTGCTGTTGCCAGCGCTGCATAAAAGATGGAAGCTCCATCGAAATATTGCCGCAGAGCAGGTCCAATACGAGGCCCAGCACAATGATTTGTGCGATCAGACGCCAAAACATATTTTCAATTTAGTTCGATTTATGATAATTTTTCCGTTTATTCAAACAACACAATAGCAACCATACAAGTATTTCCCAACACACACTTGGAGCATTTGAAGTGTACGGCCCCGATGATTGCGTAGTTTAAATTTTCCGCTTGCCAATTTCATGCAGTTTTCCGCTAGTTGCGAAAGTTGGCAGCTAAAAGGAAAAACTCCCGAAACTAAATAAATAAATATGCGCACATAAAAAGTGCCACGCCCTTGCGCCTACAACAACTTTTATTTAACAGTGAGCCAGCGCAAAGTAATATGCATGTGTGTGTCGGTGCGCGTGTGGAAATAAAACTTTTTCATAATTTTGTATAAGAAAAGTTTTGCGTTGTGCCACATAGTTGCAAGTGCTTCCTGCTGATTTTTCTTCTGCGTTCTCCACGCCGCTTTTTATTTTCTTTCGTGGCCGTAAACGCCGACGTTATACAGTGGCTCAAATTGCCATTCAAGGTAAGCAAAATTTGAAATTTCAATTCATGCGTGTCACTGCGAGCACGAGAAGAGAGCTGACTTGACAAACTTTTCATTACTCCACAATAGGTATGTACTACACGAACTAATGTAGAGTATTTGTACATACATGGGTACTAAAGGGCACAAGCCTAGCTAAGCCCCATAGTTTCTCCATCAAGAGATATTTCGTGTTCGGACGAACTGTAAAGGGAGCAAGGAATTTCCTCACTGGTTGCATCCATGAATATATGTATGTTAGTATATTCACTAGATCTGCTACCATAGAGAATTATTTAAAACAAAAATGTTTGATTGAAGTTCACCAATTTGACTGAAACATTTTGAAGAAAACAGCGGTTGGTGTAATACTTGTAAACTATTTTTTACCCAATTATCACCCACGTGGAAGTGACAAAGCCTTGTTACACATTTTATTCCCCAAAGGACGGGTGTGTCACAATTTCAAATATTTAGTTGAAGTGCTTTGCGGCTAAGAACTGATAAATCAAATAATCAGCTAGTGAATGAGGACGAAAAGTCTCAATGTTTCTAGCTTCGATCCATCGGCTATATCTCTGCTTTTATCTGCGGCATGCGTCCTATACCCTACTTGTATACCCAGCTTCAGACTCCATAAGAGCACATGCTGGTTGAGACAGGACAGGACAGGACAGGGACAGGGACTGCTGCATTTTAGGGAGTGTAGCATTTTTTGCAGTATTACTAATATTTTCAAGCTTTCCTTCTTTATTTTTAAACAATTTTAAACATAAATAAGAGAATTACCCTATATCGAACCAACATCACCCGCTACGTTGGGTCGTTGTAGCAGTGCAAAATAAAATATTTTCAAAAAATATAATGGTCTCTCCATATATAGATTTGTATTATAGCTGTATCCTATTTATAATCTATGTGTTCCCCTTTAAGCAGTACACTTGTTTAATAAAAATAAAGTAAAACTTATTTATATATTATCGTATATACAATGTGTATGTGATAAAGTTTTGATACATAATGGGCGGATTTACAGGTGGTTTTCTTAACAAAGACTGTGATTTTCAAATATTGTAGTTACTATACCCTGCACATGAAATGTACTAGGGTATCCCAGTTCAGTGCGATTAAATGTAACACTCAGAGGGAATATTTAAATTTGTGTTTTTTAAAGGCGCCCACTGTTCCGGGTCTATAGCAAAAGAGTTGGGCCCCCTCGACTCCAGCTTCCCATTCTTTTTTAATTTTCCTATTTGTAGGGTGTTGGGTGTGCGTTGAGCATGTTGGGAATGGAAGGGGAGTGTGCACGTGAGAGTTTGTAGTTGCAGCTGCTTGGTTTTGATGCGCCTATGCGGCCAGAGCGGTTAACTGCAGTTGGCGCCTGTCAGTCCATCTCTTTCCAGTCTCCGACAGCCGACCGCAAGACTTTGTGAATTAATTAAACTGTGAACTGTGCAAAAGGAAATCGGTATAAAAACAAACTCCACCACCTGGTCATTCACTTAATGAATGCTTCTCCCTGAGATTTTTCGCCCAGCAAAGGCCTTGACACAAAGAACTTTTCATAAGGTTGCATCTTCTTTGGTGAGGCACAGTGAGTTAAATAAGATAAAATACAAATACAATAAGCATGTTGTATTGTTTCATTACGAACGGTCCTCGACTGCGAACATCCAATGACTTTTTTGTAACCAAAACTATAGCATTAGAAAAAAAATGAAAATGAACCTTATTATTTGTATTAGATTAGGAATGGAGGTATTGGTCTAAATGCTCTGCTGAAGGAGAAGTAGATGCACTCCAGTCAGATGCACCATTTTCATAAAGCAAAGACGACGATCATCATTTTGGGTCGAGCTTTTGATTCCTTTCAAAATGTTTAGTTTATCAAACGCCTCACATAGCACGCCGGCCTCCTTTTCACATTGGGGAGGGCAAAGATTCAGTTCTACGGCTATGGCGCATAGGCTTCTCTCCAGCAGCGTAATTATCTCCTCGTTCCTGAGCACAATCTTGAATTGTTTAAAGTAGTTATTTTTAAAATGTCCAATTTGAATACTGCATTTCAAAACAAACAATAAAGAACTGATACGAATACCAAAGACAACTATTAATTATATTTCAGCTAAAGCGGAATTCATCAAAAGGGCCTACTGCTACAGGAAATTGCTGGTCTTCACCTGCTTCCAAGCCAAGTCAACTCTGTAAAAGAGTTTTATTAAAGATATATTGCATATTGTTCAACTAAAATCGGAGATGCCTTAAGTTGGTGTTAGACGTTCCCGATTCATTCAATTTCATCAACAATCTTGCACATAATGAAATCTTTTTCAAATCTTGGGTCATCGGCTGCTGATGCGCTTAGCTTCGGAGTCGCCGATTCTTCAACTTCTTCGTCATCATCATCGTCATCGTCATCATCATCGTCTGCTGGGACGGACAGTGAACCGCTTTTGAGGATGTCGCGCACGTGCTTGAGATTGTCCTGGAAGCGGGAAATTGTCTCAACTCGTTGGCGTTTCTGCAACTCCATCATAACACGCAGAGTCTCGCGAGCTTGATGCGGCCTGAGCTCGTTGATCAAATGGTTCATTTGGACGAAGAGCAAGTTTATATGATCAAGCTGTTCAACAATGAAGAAGACAAAACGACACATTAACATTGACTTTAAAAATAACCTCCAACTGTGGGACTTACCTTTTCTCTACGCTTGGGATGTTCGGGACACATTATAAGCGTGTCGAGTAGATCTAAGAAGGTGACTACCAGCGAGTGATTTAGCTTTGTCAGCTCCTTACGGCGATCAAAATGTACTGGTACTATACGTTTAATGTTCTGCGACTCCAAAGGGCACACCAGCTCATTGGAATTGTGCTGAATACCGAACACAGTGATGTTTTGGTTATCTGAAGGTGCTGGCGGTGGAGGTGGCGCCAAGCCTTTTGCTACAGCCTTATTAGAATAGTTCTTAAAGTATTCCTTTGGTGGCAGCGGCAGGCTTGAAACCTGTTCTAGATCTGCACGATTCACTGTATCGGTCTTCGTGAGGTTTTCGCTTACACTCGAATCTTTCACGGACCTGTGGGTAATCCCTTTAGATGTTGAAGGAATATCGTCGGATTGCATTACGAATAAACAAGAACCACGTTGGAAGCAATTTCTCAGCAATACATAAATAGTAATTAACTCCTAACTCTTTTACGCGTATTTCTTAAAGAAAACAAAAGAGCACACGTGTGCTTTCCCTAATGGCGGAATAAGAAGAACAAGAGAACGGCAGCTAAAACGAAGCATAAAATAAATCGATAGTATATCACTTGAATTTATACGCACCCGTTACTTAAGCACGAGTATTTCAACTACATCGCAAGTCACAACTTTAATTCATTCGTTCATCGTTGAATCAATTAAATTAAATTAAAAAAAGGCCCACAATCAAAATCCTTGTTGTTGCCCATTTGTTTACATGAAACGACTGATCAAAAATAATTTCAAAAACGGCAGTTAGCCAACGATTTGTTATAAATTGTGTGCACAATTGCCATACAAGTATACATATATATGCCATAATGCGCCCGACAGACTTTAAAAAACTCACTAAGCTTAGTATGTAAATGAACTTCTTGATAACCCTAGGAAACGTCAATTTGTTAAACTTGCACAATTCAAGAAAATGCTAAGGTTTCAAGCAAAATAGAATATATTTTAGGAGCACCCGAAACATTTTAAAGTTGTGTCTAAAAAAAAAACATTTGTTTTCCAAGGTAGACGTGGCAGGAACGTCCTTAAACTTTTCTATGCAATTGATATGATTAATTGCTTATCCATCTTCATTCCACACTTTCAATTCAACTACTTGGGGCTATAAATAAAGGACAGGTGCGCATATTTAACGCAGCATCAATGCACATATGAGTACAATAAGCAACGACTGTTTTTCCACTTATATTGCAGTTTTATTTCAATAAATCCTCAATCTTAAAATTGACATTCGAATGCACTTACAAAAACAGATTTGCGTTTCTTAACATGTTGCCATGGATCGCAATAAAATTAACAGGTATAAGAATAATCAGGTTATAGTGGAATTGCAAGGAATCTAATTTCAATTTATAGAGACATTTAAGAAACATAAAATTGTCCAAAATACCAAAGTAGTTCGATTGCTGTAATACTTTAAAAGTTTATCGGCTTTCGAAAATATATGGTCTGGTGGCACAGAAGTGCTTACTGGCGGCACGAATTTTCGGAATATTTTATATAAGTATAAGGGCCCTTTAATTGTTTCCCAAAGAAATAATACATGATTATTTACAGCTGATACTGCCATGTGCATGTACATACGTATACGAAAATTTTGCAGTTTATCGAAACAACATTCTTAGGAGAGTCCTCAACTGGTGGCAATTCGACTGTGAATTGCTTTGAAAAATGGTAAGTAGATCGTAAGGTTTCGATGTTATTGCCTAGACAGCGATGATGTATCGCCGATGTATCGCGCTCGTAAAAACATAGGAAAAAATCGAGAAATCATTGTCTAAGGTTCGACGAGGTCAACAAAATGTATGTAACTGATAGTTGTCCAGTCCTCCGTCAAAGGGAATTTTAGCACGGTAAATCGTAAAATCGATGAGTTTTTAACAATAATGGTTAGTCCCGTTCCAATAACAAAGTATAATAATAGTAGCACATAGTACATGATTCACAACTTTTATTTGGTTCAACCATGGTCGTGACTGCGTTAGGGCCTTTGGGCTTTGTGCGTCGGTGCAGGTGTCATTGCTACGCAGCGCCGGGGATTCCCCGAACATGAGGGCGAGAGAAGTGCTGCAGAGCTATGTATGTACTTGTATGTATGCCTCGGTCACTGAGCAAAGCTGCTGGAAAAATCAAATAAAATGTCATTCAATAGACGTCGCAGGCCACACGGGTGGACGATGCGACAAGCGCCGTTGTCGTATTGAGTCTGTGTGTGTGTATGTCTATGTGTGGGTGTGGGTGTTCGTGCTCAGATCGCTCCATTGCCTTTCAATTAAGATTCAGCGTTGTTGTGTTTCAATCATCATTTGCAAGCAAAACAAATTTTCGTGCTGTGGAAGGAGCGCATGTTGCACATGTCACATGCAGACAGCTCACAAATACATACATACATCCATACATATAAAGATAGATACACACACACACACACAGACGAAGGCATCTGTATGCATGCAGATTTGTTCGCTTTGCGTGACATTCGCGCAACTTTGTGTCCCGTCTCTCTGAGGCTGGCCTGCAAAAATGGCGACGTCTGTTTGTTGCCAACATGTTGCCGATGCCAATACAAATGGTTCCGGGAGGCGTGCGTGTATTGTGTATGTGTGTGTGGGCGGATGGGCATGCGAATTCAAATTCAGCTTCAACACAAATGCAATTTGTATAATTGACTATGACTGTCGCCTATGAGTGTACACATGAGTTTGCGAATGTGTTCGATGTTGGCCCAACTCTATGCTTAGGCTCCTTTTCGATTTGGAATATGTTTAAACAATTTGTGCGCCTCGCATGTGGCTTTCGTTTTGAGTTTGCTGCTGTTGGTGTGGTTTTTGGGCCAGCGGCGTTCGCTGGCCCGGAATTCGTTTGTGGCTAAATGCAATTATAAAGAGATTTGCCGACACAGTGCCAAAGAGTGTGCATTTAATACATATACTAAGTACTTATACTTGTACGTATCTGTATGCATGCATGCTACAGTCGCCTTTAACAAATGGTGAGCTTTAAGAAGTCAACACTTTCCTGGCTAGTGAGTGCAATGGACGTGCCTGTAAAGAACTCGCCGATGTACTCTTCCAAGAGAGTCCAGAGCTCCGTTTTGTATTTATTTATGTGACTCCTTGTTTTTATTGGACCTTATTTGCCATTCGGGCAGCGAATAATTCATAGTCAAGTTTATTGAGAAACTACAGTGAAACTACACATGAAATTAAGAAAAAAATGTCCACATGCAAAAGTTATCAGAGCCAGAAAACTTACAATAAATTAGCACGTAATTAGTAAGTTTATGTGGAGTGATTCAAACTCATGTAAACAAAACCAGCTGCTGGCAGACTTTCGCAGGGATTACATTTAAGGCTATAAATTTCATAACAATTTGCCTATCGCGATAACATAAGGACACATACGCACTAACCGGATATAATTACGAAATTTGAGTAAAAAAGTCGATGAATTACGAAAGCTATAGAGAATCACTGATAGCAGGAAAGCGGGGAAGCAGGGAAAACTTTGAAAAAAAAAAACAGTTGTACTGCGTCCACATATACTAACTCCCTAGATCAAAATCCGCACCAAACTGTCGCGCTCTGAGGATGCTTTGACTTCTCGACGGCCACGTAAGGGTTCTCAGATCCCCTTGTTCCTTTTCAAGCTGATCCGCAAAGTGAAGCCGAAAATGAGAAATTTCTTTTCTATAAACATTGACTTTGAAAATAGGTTAGTAATATTTTCTAACGTTGTTCAAGCGTAAAGCGATTCATTGCATTCCATGGAGATACTGACTTTTAATCACAATATCCAGCGGATATAACCATTGGATCTTGAAGACCGTCTTTTGACATCAAAGGGTCGATCCGCGTCGACGATGTGCATATTCGAGCTCATCTAATATATATGTGTGAGATATTATGGTAGATATTAAATAATGTAAAATGATTTATGATTCAACGTCGTTCTGCCAAACCACATTCCGCTTATGACAAAATAGTGTTTGGGTTCAATGAGTGCTTGGATAAAGGGAATTTTCTTTTTATTTGCACCCTTAAGATATTCAAATAGCAATTAATAAATGAAAGAATGTTATCACAATGTTGTCAACGGCCACGACAGTTATACCAATAACAGCAAAATTACAACCACTCTTGTTCTAAGCCTAAAAAATAAAACATGAAAATATTCGACGAAACAAAAGAACAACAATGACATGAAATGTAATGACAAGCCATTTAAGAAGCTGGTGCCAAGGGCTCTTTGAACTTTCATTTTATGGAAGTATCTTTGTTTTTAAAAACACACAAACGTACCTTGAGGCCCATGTGTAATTCTAAACATTTATACAATTAATTTAAATTAAACTACTTTTACAAAAGTGAGCAAAAGAAACATATAATTATGTTACAAATTACAAATATCTGCATCTGTATGTTCGGTTATATCTGAACAAAACGTTTGCATTTCTTCAGTGTTTATTGATTGTTATTATTGAATATCAGGCAGAGTATTTGCATCCGTTTAAATAACATAGTGTTTGTTCAAGAGGCAACTCTCTTTAGGTTTTAAAAGGTTCACAAATAATACCGCTTTTGAAAAGTAGACATCTGTCTATCAACGTCATTAACTATTTGTTTTAAATTCTGATTTATCAGCTATTTAGGAGCATTTTTATTTGCAGAACAAATTTCGTATTTAGTATCTATTCAAGAGACGATAGTGAGGATAGTGATGCTTTCACCGATTTTTTTCGACTTTGTTAAAATTGTATGCTAGTATCAATTATCGTGAGTCGTGAGTTTTAGTGAAGAGTGCCAGTTCACGATCAGGCACGTACTTGCGCACAACTCTAGTATTTGGAATGTTTGGGCATCGTGCTCCGAATTGTGAATTTAAAGGAACAGCTCAACGCAAAATGTACTAAACAAATGCCCCCGGAGCCTTTAACATGCAGAGTTGTTAATTTGTCTGGGATATTAATGTTTTTTGTATGTGTGTGTAGACTCAGTTGTCCCCAAGTCATTTGCTGTGTGGTTTGTTTCCAGCAAGGATGTGCGAAGTGGAACATTTGTTAATGTACTTGTATTTTGAAAGTGGTCGAGCGTCAAGTATGTATTCAAAAATCCTGTTTAATGTCAAAGCTGTTGACTATTTCATTATAACAGATACTTGTATATTTATGTTCAAACATTTGATTTGAGCCTTGCAGCAACTTTACATTACAGAATATTCAGAATATGAGTGCTGCAAGTGTTATGATTATGGATGTGGTAGACTACAAGTCTTGGAATTGTTAGTTAATGAGTCTAAGTGCACTCTACTACTTGTAGAAACGAAGCTAACCAGCTGTAAGAAGAAATTAGAGCCGCATTGAAGGAAGTGGATGTGGTGGGTCAGTGAAGTCCGTTAGGTCCTGATG